GCGCCTGGGCGTAGTCCGTGGGCATTTCGGCGCTCGAACTCTCCTGAAGAGGTACCTGTTTCAACGCGTCATGCAGCGGTTGCATCGGAGGACGGGCCGTTGCTTCAGCCTGCCTGCTCGGAGTGGAACTGGTCAAACATTATTGTCGGTTGCAACTGCGAACGACGTCTTCGCATCCACTGCGCTCGTTTCAACCCGCGAGTCCGCGTCAGACAGAGGACTGATCCGGAGCGAGGCCTTTCCAGGGGCGCAGAATCTTCGTGGCGGCCCAATCCTGATGAAGACCGGGCCCGCAAACTTTGCGGGGGGCTTTCCGCCCCCTCCGGCCCCCTGCCCCCCCCGCCCCCCCCGACGCAAACGCGCGCGCGCACGCGCGCGCCCCGGGTCCGAGGGCCCCGTCCCGGGCTACGCCTCGCGCCCGCGGCAGGGCGCCCCTGGGCCGTCTCGGCGCCCTCGTCGGGGCACGTCGGGGCGACGTTCGGGCGCCCGGGGCCGTCGTGGAGCGTCGGGGCGCTGAACAGAAGGAATATGGCTGAAATCCATCAAAAACTGAAGGGAAATTGATGATGATTTTGGCTTCTTGGGGCCTTGAGAGGAGTGCTCTTGGAGACCCCTTGGGCCGTGCTGAAGCCTTTCTGGGACGTCTGGGGGCCGTCTTGGGCGTGTTCGAGCTGTCTGTCCGCGTTTCGAGCCTTCTTGGAGGCCTCTTGCGGCCCCTTTCACGTGTGTTGGGGCTGTCTCGGGTTGTCTGGGAGCGGCCCCGGGGCGTCTCGGCGCCCTCGCGGGGGCCTGTCTGGGCGACTTCTGGGCATCCCGGGCCGTATTGTAACGTCTGGGAGCGGAACAAGTAGAATCGTGAACATGTCTTTTTTTTTTTTGTTTTGGCTCTTTTGGGTCTGCCAGGCAAGCCCCCGTGGGCCGCGTTGGATGACATTCGGGCCATCTGGGAGCCATCTTCGGCATGCTGGAACCATATTTCTACGACTGTAGCCCTGTGGGAGGCCTTTCGGGGCCGCTTTCATGCGTTATGGGGCTGCCTTGGGCAGTGTGGGGGCGTCTTGGGCCGCCCCGGCGCTTTCGCGGGGGCCTGTTGGGGCGATGTTCGGGCGCCCAGGATCGTTTCGAAGCGTCGGGGCGCTGGGCGGGCAGAATTGCTGGAATCCATCAAACACCGCAGGAACTTTGATGATGATTTTGGCTTCTTGGGGCCCTTGGGGGCAAAGGGCAGCGCGCGAAGCCTGTCGAGACCATGCAGGGCGACCGTGCCTGCGACTGCGCCATCGAGGAATTCGCCGAGCAGAACATCGGATGTGCGAATTTCAGGAGGTAGCAGACCATCGAGTGGGCCGCGTGGAACGAGCAGCACGGCAAACGATAGTCCCAGGTTGACAAGAAGGGCGTGAAACCGTTCGAGGTGAGGGAGTACAGCGTCGAGAAATAGAACGAGTTCAATCGTGACCCAGCTATAGAACGGGACAAGTTTGGAGACAGAGGCTGCCGAAGGTTGCGGGCGCCCTCGAAGGGAGGAAAAAAAAACAATACCTCAACGATGCATTCATTATGAGCTTGGCTTCTGAGGGTCGCAGTGTCGTGGGGGGGGGGGGGGGGCAGCGAATTCAGATGTCGATGCCTTGCGCCGCCGCGCTCACGAAGCCGATTCTCCTGGTTCTCACGATTTCTTTCAGGGGAAGTCTGCCGCGGCTGTCGGCGAGGTGGCCAGGGCCCCCGAGAAGAGTGCATCGTCGGGCGCGGAGACTGGCAACGTGGCCTCGGCCGACGAAAAGCGGAAGGCAGCTGCTGGTGCAATCGGCTTGCGTGACAGCGAGGCCACCGACGGGGCGGGCGTCGAGTATTCCGCCAAGAAGAAGAGAGGCATCCCGATGACAGGAAGGTGGGCCACTATGTTCGACACTTGCTCCAGGGAGCTCGCAGATGAGCAGGTGGCGCTGCAGGCGGCGCTGCAATCAGTGAACGGACCTCTGAAGATTGCGTCGGCCGCCCATCTTCCAGACGATCGTGCGTCGAAGACCCAGTTGCCCTACCTGGAGCCCCATCGAGGTCCAGGTGGCGCCCGTGTGAAGCTTGGCTGGACACGTTGATCGCTCACGAGCGGTCGGTGGACCAGGCGCCAGGGCTGCGCGCGTGCATGACCAAGCCTGAGGATCCAAGCAGGCCGCCCGCCGACGGGAAAGGAGCTGCCGGAGACGGTGCAAAAGCCGCTGCCAAGGAAGGTGCTGAACCTCCTGGGGAACGACATCGCCGAAGGCCTGCTGGGATTCCCAATAACTTCCGCTCTTTACAATGCCGGATGAGGGAAAACCGCATTCAGCGTCATCAGCGGGGGGTCGGGGTCAAGAAGGAGTTCCACTGACAAGACGGAGTTGACGGAGGGATCCACTGACAAGAAGGAGTTGGATGAGGCATCCACTCACCTGGCTGCAGATGAGGCGCTGGTCAAGATCATGAACACGTACAAGCCCGAGGATGTGAGCTTGCTCACTCCTGGGTGGCTGAGGTGCCGCGGCTGCGCGTTTCACTTCCTCGACTCCAGTGCGGCTGTCGATTCCGAGGATGCGCTGGGCAAGATGCAGGCCTGGTGGAAGCGATTGCAGCGTTGCGTCGCGAACCTCGAGCCGAATCTGAAGTCGGCCATGGGGGGCCATGGAAAGCGCGCTACCTCGACGGCTGCGGCGAAGCAGAGGGAGGAGAGTCAGCGAGGGAAAGAGCATGAGGAGGAACGCGCCGCCCCAGGGAACATATCAACGCTAATGCTGATGCCGTCCAGTCAAAGACCTGCAGCGATGCTGACGTCGCGCCCGCTTTCTTTATTATGACCAGACTTGGAATTGTGCCAGTGCCGAGGTATGAAGGAACATCTGTGATGCCTGCAGTCGATGCGGAACGTCTTTGCGAGCCGTTAGACGCGGTCTGCGAGCCCGTCGCATCGGCGCCCTTGGCTCGCAAGACCATCGGCCAGACAATGTCCTCGCGGGGCGAGCGCTGCAAGCAGGCGCGGCGCCCGCGGTGTGAACCCTGAACTAGCGCAAATGGCTCCTAGGTCCGCGTGCGCCCTCGAACAATTTTAGCCTTCTTCCCCGCCCCCCGCCCCCCTTGCCCTTGCCCTTCTGCGCCCCGCCCTGCCGCCCCCGCCCCCCTCCTGCTCGCGGGCCGCCGCTGGCGGCGCTGCGGTGCGCCGTGGGTGGGTGGGTGGGGTGGGGTGGGGCGGGGGTGGGTGGGGTGGGGGTGGGGGGGGGGGGGGGGGGGGGGGGGGGGGGGGGGGGTGGGGGGGGGGGGGGGGGGGGGGGGGGGGGGGGGGGGGGGGGGGGGGGGGGGGGGGGGGGGGGGGGGGGGGCTCGGAGAACGCGCGCGGACTTAGTGGGCAATGACGTTAGCTCGGGGCTCGCATGACGGCGCATCGCATCGCAACTTGCACGCCCAGTCGCGCGAGGTCTCGACGCCGACGCAGACCGAGAAGGGGAAGAAGATCGCCGCGGATTTTTCCAGGACGTCTTGAACCAGCCCAAGAGCAATCTCTTGGACATCAGCACAGCCAGCAAGGCCTGGATGGACTCCGCGTGTCTTTGGGGCGAGGGCTCGGAATGCATCAGCACGCACTTCGCGCCTGACAGCGCTGGCATGTTCCGTCTGGTGTGTCAGAAGAATGCCGAGATCTGCATGATGAGCGCAGCGACGGCTTGCATCTCCTTCCTCGACGTCAAGAATATCAATGCGCACATGGACGTGGTAGATGCCCTGACGGACATGACGCAGAGCGGCCTCGATGAGTTCCCCAAGACTGGCTTCCAGATCTTTCGCGTGACTCAGGAAATGGCGACCTTCTCTATGTCCTGGATGGCTGGCTGCTTGCACCGAGGGCTACTACTCCACCGATCTTCGGCGTGCGGAAGTCGGTGTTCTTCCAGACCGCTACCGACAAGAGGGAGTACAGTTAGGCGAGAGTGTTGCTCGCTTCCCAAGGGCCCACTTGCTCTGGGGCGGACTACGCTGCGCCGCGCGCGCTGGCGAGGAGCGAGGCTCCAAACGGCAGCGATGCAAGTCTTCGCGATGGGCGCGTGCGATGATCAGACGAGGAGCGGGTCGAACATAATAAGCACTGTGGACCTCAAACAGCTCGAGTGTTTGTACTCTCGAAGCGAAGTACAATGTACTGTAGCCCAACATAGGAGGGCGACGAAGATGATGATGAGGGGGAGGAGGAGGAAGGAGGAGGAGGATGAGGAGGAGGAGGGGTGAGGGTGAGGAGGCATAGGAAGGGAAGGGAGAGGAAGAGGAGGAGAAGGAGGAGGAGGAGGAGAAGGAGGAGGAGGAGGAGGCGGAAGTGTACCCCAGTGCTGAAGGGAGGGAGATGCTGAGGAGAATGTGAGCCAAATTCTCGACGGCCGATCTCCAGGAAAGAAACATAGAAACCTTTAGTTCAAGCGCTGCTTGGTAGCGTATCATCCTTCTCATTCTCCTCCTCTTCCCTCTCCTCCTCTTCCTCCTCCCCTCCTCCTCTTCTTCCCCCTCCTCCTCACCCTCCTCCTCTTCCTCCTCCATATCAATATCTTCGTCCTCCTCCTCCTCGTCGTCGTCGTCGTCGTCCTCCTCCTCTTCCTCCTCCTCCTCCTCCTCCTCCTCTCCGCTCTCCCTTGTATTGGGGGTTCACGTGCTCCTGCATCTTTTTATTTTTTACCTTTCTATCTTCTCCTTCCTCGGTCCTCCGTCTACCAAGCACTTCGTTTCTCCCGGAAGACACCTCGTGGGCGGAGGGCCTTTGAGCCAACCGACCAAGGCCGCCAGAGCCTCCGCTGGAGCCCTGCTGCCCGCGCGGCAAAGCGGCACGGGCGGAGGGTTCTGCGCGGCGCGCCTCGCTGGGTGGGCGCCCCGCCCTGCCGCGTCCGGCCGCCCTGCCCGTCTGCAGGCCTCCGCTGGCGCGGGCCGTGCGCGTTCGTCGCGGGGCCACGCCTCGGGCCGCCCTGTGGCCGTGGGCGGCACGAGCGGCGCGGCGCGCGGCGAGGAAGGCCGCCGTTGCCGCGGCCGTCGCTGCCGCGGCCGCCGCGCCGCGGGCGGCGCGGCGGCCGCCTCGTCGGCCGCGCTCGTCGAGCCAGCGGGAACGCCCGGCGCGGTGATGCTCGGCGCCAAGGCAGGCGGCGCGGCGAGCAGCAGACCACCCCTATCCCAGCCCGAAGGCGCCAGACCCTTCAGGTTTCGGGCTGGGGGGTTGCATGGGTGCTCCGTGCTGTTTTCTCGATGTTCCGGAGTGCCCCTCCACTGGAAATCGATGGGCCCAATGGCGGTTTTCGAAGCAGAAAAAGCTGCATAAACAATGATTTTGGCGCTCCGCGCGGACCGTCGAACGTTCATGCTTATACTGTTGTTTTAGAGATCGGGTTAGGTGGAGGTGGTTTGTCGGCAGCACCCAAACATACTCATGCTATGTGTGCGTCCCCCCCCCAGCTGGGGGCGGCGCGCGCTTCGAAAGCTAATGGTGTATGCTCGGTGGCGGGCGCTCTCTGGCCATACCGCCTGGAAAGCCACACGCTGGAAAAGGTGCTAGTGCTACATGTTCGGTTCGGACGTGTGCCTCGGGGGAGGGCGCACAGTACCAGTATGTCCTGCTGCGCCCCACCTTGGCAGGTAGTCACGGTGTGGGAGAAACTCGCTGGGGCCTGGCGGTGGTGGCTCACCTCGCTGGGCCCGTTCCTGCTCGCCTGCGGAGCGCTGGCGGCTCTGAGGGGCGGCCTGCTCCCCAAGCTGCACACCCTCTACGTGCGCGGCATGACGTACATCCTCCGCGAAGAGCGGAGAAGAACAAGGGCTCCCACGAGGGCGCGAAGTTATTCGCGCTTCGCGGTCCTCGTTCCTCCTCCCCCTCCTCCTCGTCCTCCTCTTCTCCCTTTGGGTGGGCGGCGCGAGAGCGCGAAGCTACTTGCGCTCTCGCGCCTCGCGCAGCGCGAAGCGCAAAGTTGGGAGCCCTTGAAGAAAAGGGGCGTGAACATCCACTTTCGGAGGCCCCCCCCCCGGATCTCTCGGACTGGTGCTGACCCCCCCCGCGCTGGGCCCTCTTCTGGCGGCGCCTCCAGGGCCGCCCTCTGGCGCGCTCCGCTCGCCAGGGCGAGGAGCGCAGCGCCGCTCCCAGAGGTCCGCGCATGCCTCCGAGCATCTCGTGTTCATGATACAGTAGAGGCCCATGCCAAGAAACGCCCTGCTTGCCTCCAGGGTGCCCTGGATTTCTTGGGTTTCGATGGTCTTGCTGTGGAAGGTGTGACGCTCCCACACCAAGAATCAATGGACGTACTGGGGTCTCAGGGTTGGGCTTCTTGTGGAAGGTTTCTTCTGGTCGGGCCCCTACTGTATCTTGAATCCCCAAAGGTCTCAACTGGTTCCGAATCCCCGCAATATTTTTTCTCCGAAAATCTTGTGTTCATGATCGGGAGGCAACTCCTGGGAGGTCAGATTCTGATTTTGCTCTGGGCCGAAGTCCGGCTCAATCCCGCTTCATCCCGCTTGATCCCGCTTCATCCGGCTTGGTTCCGCTTAATCCGAGGCCCACTGCGGCGTAATAGTTCCCAAATGGGGCCTAATCCTCCTTAATCTTCCCGACGAAAACCTTCCAGTAGTTGCCTCCTAACCTAAAGGAGCCAGGGGGTACAAAACCGTACAAGCAGAGTTATTTCAAGGTGGCCGAGGTTCCGCTTGCGACGCTCTTGTCCTTCAGCCTGTTCTGCCAGCTCGTCCCATTCTTCCTGGGCCGCGCGCTCATGTGGCCGAAGGCCACTGCGGCAGCAGTGCTGTTCTTCAGCAAGGCTTTAGACATGGGCAGCAAGGTCTGCGTCGGCTGGTTCCTGTACGGGGTCGTGAACCAGAAGATCGCGCGCTCCTCGCGCGGCCTTGCGCAGAAGAGCGACATAATGGGAGCCGAGACCTCACGGCAGGAGGCGCAGGTGCTGGCAGTCGGACAAACAGCCCGGATCCTCGTCTGCTTCTGCACGTTCCTCGCGTGCCTTCCAGCGCTCTCGATCGACCTGGGGACAGTGCTGTCGTTCTGCGGCATGGGCGGCCTCGCAATCTCGCTGCTGTCGAAGGGCGTCTTCGTCAACCTGATCGGCAGCCTTACCATCTACCTGACGCAGCCCTTCACCCTAGGAGATTTAGGGGGCCACATGTGAACCCTACCCCTACCCCCCACGATTTTTGAGGGGAGGGTGGGGTTCACTTCGCTCGGGAGCTCCCGAACGAAGTGAACCCCACCCTCCCCGTCGGAAATCTTGGGGGGTAGGGGTAGGGTTCACCTGTGGCCCCCTAAGATTGGATCCAGACCGACGACGGGGAAGTCGACGGCTGGGTCCAGTCGATGGGGCCGTACCACACGGTCGTCATGCGCTGGGACCGGCGGCCACTCTACGTGCCGAACTCTCGCTTCCTGCAGGTCCGGATCGTCAACGCATCCCGCATGACCAACAGGAGGGTCCGCATCGACGTGCCGATTCGCTTCTCGGACCTGGACAAAGTCGGCGCCATTCTGGAAGACATCCGCGAGCTGGTCGAGAACCACAAGAAGGTTGACCCCGAGATGCACCGCCTGGTCCGGCTGCGGAAGATAGGGAGGCACGCCGCGTACATATGGGTGAGCTGCTACACGCGGGGCATCAACTTGAATGACTACGTGGCCGTGAACGAGGACATATTGCTGAGCATCAAGAACATCATGTACAAGCACGGCACCACCTTCGCGACCACGCTGCAGCGCGAGCTGAGGCGGGTGGACAGCACGGGCGCGTTCCTCAGCGAACCGCTCGGCTTCCCCTACGGCGGCGCACAGCCCGCCAGCAGGGAGGGGGAGGCGGAGCAGGACTAGAAGCAAGTGCAGCAGAATAGTCTTGCGCTCCGCGCGCCAGAACAGTCGCCAAGCAGGAAAGGGATCCCAGCCCCGGGGCTTTCCCAAGGACCAGCTCTTCATCCTGAGAGTCGTGTCCCAGACAGTGTCCCCTCCCCTGGCAGGTATATCCGCACGGATCTATGAGCGGCTATTCTCCACCCAGTAAGTTGCGGCTGTTAGATCGACGAAGAGAGCTCCCGACTTTCCTCGCACACCTGATCAACCGCGGCCGCCAGGCCCGAAGCGTGCCGGTGCTCCCTGGGTATCCTGCCTCGCGTTCTTGAGTAGGGTGCGCTCGAAGCCAAACAGCAGTGCCTGTTCAGTTTTTCGTGCTCCTCCCGAGGAGGAGGAGGAGGCCTTCGCCAGGTCGCAGCCGATGCTGGCCTCGCAGAAGGCCCTGCTGGCCTCGGAGGTGCAGCGCCTCAAGGACATGCAGGAGGGGATCTGGGCGCGGGAGCGCGACCTCAAGGATCGGGGGACGTCAGCTGACCACCCCACCGGCCCTGGGCCCGGCATCGCCCCGGCCAGGATTGGTGAGCCCTGAGATCCGGGCGTTGCGCTTCCTGTTCCCGCGGGGCGTCTTCGGCTGGCGTCGGGCCCTCCATCCGGCTGGGAAAAGAGTAGAAGAATGAGGCCTAGGGCTCTGGTCGTGATTCTTCGCAGTGCTGGATCCGTTTCGCGACGTCGGATCCGTCGGATCTCGGGGAGGTGGTCAGCTGATGTCCCCCGCGAGGATTCGGAGGCCGCCCTGGAGAGGGACGCGCAGCGGCTGAGGGAGGAGCGGGACGACGTGCCTCCGCCCCCTCGCGCTGAAGCCACGACTTCTGGGGAGCTTCGCTGGGCCCTGGGATGAGGAAGCTGGCCCCTGAGAAGGGGCCGAGACTTCTGGGGGCCCAGGCTGCGAAAAACACCACGGCGTCCAGGGTCTGGCAACCCCTGCGGTCTGGGGGCGGTGTCTGCGTCGCTGGCGTGTTTTTGTTGGCCAGGCCGCGGCGACGGTGGCGACGGCGATGGCGGCCACAGCTGGCCAGGGCGGGACGGCGTGCCCCGGGCTGCAGGAAGGGGCCCGAGGACTGGACGTTTTGACTTTGCCCTATACCTCCGGAGGCCCCGGGAGGCCTCTGGAGGCCCCTGCCGGCTGCACGTCAGAGCGGCCCGTCGCCGGGGTGACCTCCGGTGCTCCGCTGCTAGGGGGTTGGTCGGGGGCGACGACACGGGCGAATAGCCGAGGGGCGGGCGTTACACGTATTCGCCTGGGAGCCTCACCGACGGCATGTACCATCGGCACCCCTGGGTACATGTATTGCTCCCCCCTGGGCTATTCGCCCCTATCTTCGCCTCCGAGTGGGGCAGTGGCCACGCCGAGGCACGCTGGCCGCTGCAGTCGCACCGGTCGCAGCCGATCGGCAAGCTGCGCGAGGTCGTCCTGGCCACTCCTGCGCGTCGCCGATTCTGGGGACGGGGACCTCTGGAGACCTCTGGGCTGGAGACCTCCGGCGGGCTTTCAGAGGCCTTCAGCGAGGTTTGTCGGGCATCGTTGGTGATCTTTCGTGGGGTCTCGTTGGCGATGGCTCGGTGGCAACAAGAAGAGAGGCCTCCGACAGCGAGGTACTCGCGGAGACGAGGGCGGTGGAGCGGCAGGAGGAAGAGCTTGCCCGCGAAATTGACTCCTTCGGGGACAGGGAGCTTGAGATGCACCAGTGGGAGGAGTTGGGAGTTCGAAGATGGGCATCTCGCCGCCTGATGCCAGGCAACTAGCCCTGCGCATCAGTCAGGGCGGCGCGCGCAAGGGGGACGGCACAGCGGCGGTCCTCCTACGAAGGCTCAGAAGGCCTCCGGCCTTCCGAGAAGCTTTCTAGCCTCCTCCGAAGCGGAAGAGGGCTTCTGCGGAGGCTTAAGTCGTGCCTGTCCCCCTACAGACCGGTTTTGGACGAAAAATAAGAAAAACCCAGAAAATACCCCCAAATATTCAAAAAATGTCAAAAATCGTCCCCAGTCAATTTTTCTAGGATTTTTGAATATATGTATGTATGTATGTATGTATGCATGCAAGCATGCATGCATGCATGCATGCATGCATGTATGTATGTATGTATGTATGTATGTTTGTATGTATGTATGTTTGTATGCATGCATGTATGTATGTATGTACGTATGTATGTATGTACGCCGGTATGTATGTATTCATGTATGTATGTATGAATGCATGCATGCATGCATGTATGTACGTATGCATGTATATATGTATGCACATATGTTTGTATACATGTATATATGTGCGTGTATGTATGCATGTATGTATATATGTGTGTATGTATGTATGCATGTACGTACGTATGTATGTATGCATGTATGTATGTATGTATGTCTGTCTGTATGTATGTATGTATGTATGTATGTATGTATGTACGTATGAATGTACGTATACATCTGTATGTATGCATGCATGTATGTATATATTTGTGTATGCATGCATGTATGCTTGTATGCATGTATGTATGTATGTATGCATGCATGCATGCATGCATGCATGCAGGTATGAATGTATGCATGTATGTATGTATGTATGTATGTTTGTATGTATATATAAATATAGATTCAATCATGCTTGTATGTATGTATGCATGTATGTATGTATGTATGCATGCATGCATGTACGTATGCATGTATGTGTGTATAATGTACAGGTGTAGGTGTATGTGTATGTGTATGTGTATGTGTATGTGTATGTGTATGTGTATGTGTATGTGTATGTGTATGTGTATGTGTATGTGTATGTGTATGTGTATGTGCATTGTATGTGTATGTGTGTAGGTGTAGGCGTAGGTGTAGGTGTAGGTGTAGGTGTAGGTGTAGATGTAGGTGTAGGTGTAGGTGTAGGTGTAGGTGTAGGTGTAGTTGTATGCTTATGTGTATGTGTATATGTATGTGTATGTGTATGTGTATGTGTATGTGTATGTGTAGGTGTAGGTGTAGGGGTAGGGGTAGGGGTAGGTGTAGGTGTAGGTGTAGTTGTATGCTTATGTGTATGTGTATATGTATGTGTATGTGTATGTGTATGTGTATGTGTATGTGTAGGTGTAGGGGTAGGGGTAGGGGTAGGGGTAGGGGTAGGGGTAGGGGTAGGGGTAGGGGTAGGGGTAGGTGTAGGTGTAGGTGTAGGTGTAGGTGTAGGTGTAGGTGTAGGTGTAGGTGTAGGTGTAGGTGTAGGTGTAGGTGTAGGTGTAGGTGTAGGTGTAGGTGTATGTATGTATGTATGTATATTTATTTTTATATATAATTCCCCCTGTAGAGGGACAAGCCCGACTTAAGCGAAGGCCTGTCCTCTCTCACTTCCCCCTGGGCGCGCCGCCAAAGCGTGCTTGGGGTAGGTCCCGTCGCTGGCCCTCGCCAGGGTCAGTCAAGCTTTGGCGAGGTGGCACCAGGCCCTCTCCGCCGGGCCTCCCCCAGCAGGCTTTCTGGCATCGAGGGGCCTCTCTCTCCGCCCCTTGCTCAGGGCCTTCTCGCCCGAGGGCCACGCGTCCCAGGGGCACCATGCAGCAAACCAACTGCATGGACGCACCTTTGTCGGAGGTCCGCGCGGAGTTCCTGGGCCAGCGCCGCGCCCCCCCCCCCCCCCCCCAGGGCGGCGCCGGGGGCTGGGGGCTGGGGGCTGGGGGCCGAGCGCCCTTGGCGCGGTCCGCGCGCCGGGGGCTGGGGGCCGAGCGCCGACCCAGGAAACCTGCGCGGATCCCCGGGCGCCCGTGCCTATGCCGCTCTGGCCCTCCTCCTCGATGTTGCCCAGACGTGAAGCGCAGGTTTGCCGCGCTCTTTTGGCCCTCCTCATGCTCCTCCTCTTCGCTTCAGGAGACTTGCCTTACTGGGATCCCCCATCCCGGCGGTGTAGTCATGCTGCCCGCTGCAGGGTCTAGCCCGAGTGCATGCGGATGGTTTGTGACACCCAGCCCCTGCGGTGCGATCTGCATGGCCTGAGCGCGGCCTACATGGCCTGGAGAGGAAAGGAGAGGAGAGGAGAGGAGGAGGAGGCGGAGGCGGAGGAGGAGGAGGAGGAGGCGGATGATGATGATATGATGATGATGATGCTGATGATGCTGATGATGATGATGATGATGATGATGCTGATGATGATGACGTCGATGATGATGACGATGATGATTATGATGCCGCTGATTATGATGATAATTCTGATGATGATGATGGTGATGCTGATGATGACGATGATGATGATGATGATGATGATGATGACGACGACGATCATGATGGTAATGATGTAATGATGATGATGCTGCTGATGATGATGAAGCTGATGCTGATGCTGATGCTGATGATGATGCTGATGCTGATGATGCTGATGATGAGGAGGAGGAGGGGGAGGAGGATGATTATGATGATGATGCTGCTGCTGATGATGATGATGATGATGATGATGCTGATGATGATGATGATGATGATGATGATGATGATGATGCTGATGCTGATGCTGATGATGATGATGATGATGATGAGGAGGAGGAGGAGGAGGAGGAGGCGGACGAGGAGGATGAGAAGGAGGAGGAGGAGCAGCCCCTGAGATCCGACGTTGCGAACAACATGCAGCATCGCGAAAAATCATGACCCCACCTCTCTGCGGCGTTTTTCCCGCCGCTTCGACCTGTTCCTTCCTCGCGGCCGCCCTCGTCCGCCACCCGCTCGCTGTATGCTGTGCCTTGCAGCGGCACCTGCGTAGGCTTCGGCCGCGCTGTGCAGCCCCTTAGATCCAAGGGCTCCCACGAGGGCGCGAAGTTACTCGTGCTTCGTGCTTCGCGGGCCTCATTCCTCCTCCCCCTCCTCCTCTTCTCCCCTTTTGGGGCGGCGCGAGAGCGCGAAATTGTTCGCGCTTCGCGCTTCGCGCAGCGCGAAGCGCGAAGTTAAGAGTCCTTGTAGATCCGACGCTGCGAACAAAACTCGAATGAGACAAATCTGCATTCAGGTGCAACTTTTGGCGCTCCGCGCGGGTTTCTTGGATCGGTGCCTGGGCCCCCCGTCGGTGCCTCCGGCGCCGCCCCTGGTGCGCTCCGCGCGCCGAGGAGGGGAGTCCAGCGCGGATCCCAGAAATCAGCGCGGACCTCCTTGTGTCGCTGTATCTTCCTTTACAACATGCAGCATCGCGACGAATCTCACCCCCGCCTCTGTGCGGCAGTTTTTCCAGCAGGGTCGACCCGTGATGGTCCTGGGCCTCGAAGCTGGACGAGAGCGCCTGGTGTCTAAAGATAGCATCTCCCAGATCTCAGGCACCGCCTGCGCGGCTACCAGAAAGCGCCCTCCCTGCAGGAGCGGTAAGGCATCAGGTTGCGCATAGACAGCCTCACCAGGTAGTCCCAGCTGGCCTCAACGGGCCCCCCCGAGTAGTCCCAGCTGGCCTCAACAGGCCCCCCGAGTAGCCCAGGGGGGTCTCAACACCCCAACCTTGGGGCGCGGAGCGCCCCGGTGGCGCCGCGGGAGGTGGCGCCAGGGTGGGGTGTTGAGACCGCCTCAGACTGCTCGGGGGGCCTCTTGAGGCCAGCTGGGAATGCTCGAGGGGCCCGCTGAGGCCAGCCAGGACTACCTGGGGGAGCGTCTGTGCGCAACCCGAGCCCTGACCATGCAGGAGGCAAGGGCGCCCTCGAGGGCGCGAAGTTATTCGCGCTTCGCGCTGCGCGGTTCGGCTCCGATTCTTCCTCATCCTCCCGCGAGAGCGCGAAGTTATTCGCAGTTCGCGCTTCGCGCAGCGCGAAGCGCGAAGTTGGGAGCCCTTGGTGAAGCCACCAGGGGACAGGCTCAAGGGGGGGGATGCATCGCCCCCCAATCGCTCATTCACCACCGAGAGGGGCCCTCTT